GGGTCTCCATGTTTTTTTGAATACCCACAGATTCCGGGCTTTCCAAAGCCACCAAAGAATATAGGTGGACAATTGGATTCTAGCCTCAGAGGTGGGGCTGTTGTTGATTGAGCATATGTGAGACCACCATGTGCTGAAGTTGTCTGTTTCTAGTTGAAGGCCATCCCAGGACAAAGGAGCCATTTTCCACACATGTTGAGCTCTTGGACATAAGAAGAAGAGGTGCTCAATTGTTTCTGGGCCTTCTCCGCAGCACATGCAGGTACTGTCAATGGTTATTCCTCTTTTGAGAAGATTACATGCAACTGGTAAGGTATTGTTCATATTCTTCCAGAGAAAATGTTTCAGCTTAGTCTTAATCTTGAGTTTCCAACATCTCTTTCTAGTTGCAGTGTAGAGCTTTTGTTGATGACTGCATTCAGCTATGTCCATAGCATTCCATTTGGATTTGAGCAGGGCTTGGTAGGTGGAGGAGACTGTGAACTTGCCTGTAGCACCATGAGTCCAGATCAATCTATCTGGTTTTGTGGGGTCAAGATCTTTGATTTTGAGAATGGCTGAAGCATCCTTCTCAGTGAAAAGTTGGTGAATGAGCTCTTGATTCCAGTTTCTTCTTGTATCATCCAGCAAATCTTGGACCCACACAAAATTCTTATGATAATCATCCCATTGCAGAGGTTGGAGTATAGGAATAGATGGTACCCAAGGGTACTGCCAAATTTTGATTGATGCTCCATCCTGCACCTTGTATTGAAAGCCATCTTGTATGTCAGCTCTCACAGATAGCCAACTATTCCAGAGCCAAGAGCTATTTTGTTTCTTGTTAACAGAGAAGATGCTATCATTAGGAAAATATCTGCATTTTAAAACTTTGCTGACTAGCAGATTGGGCTTGGTGAGAATTCTCCACATTTGCTTTGTGATTAAGGCTTTATTGAACAAATGAATATCCATGAAGTCAAGGCCACCTTTATCTTTGGGGAGAGATAAGAATTTCCAAGATTTCCAGTGAAGGCCTTTGGAGCAGTCTGATCCTTTACTCCACCAGAAGTCAGCCATTGTTTGTGAGATCTGCTGGCACAAAGATTTTGGAAGAAGAAAGGAAGACATGGCATAAGTTGGCAATGCTTGGAGAATGGCCTTCATGAGTACTTCTTTCCCTGCAAGAGATAGGTACCTGTTTTTCCAACTGCAAATTCTTTTTTTAACTTTATCATGAATGTAAGAGAAAGTGTTACGTTTAGATTTACCAATGCCCAAAGGGAGCCCTAAGTATTTGGAAGAGGTGTGGACTTGAATTCCCATGAGTATATCTCTAATGGAAGAGATAGTGGCAGGGTGAGTGTTTTTACTGAAAAAGATTGCTGATTTCTGAAGGTTTATTTGCTGGCCTGTGATTTGGTTATAACAACCCAAAATTTGCAGGATAAGGGAAGCTTGAGTGGGAGTGGCTTGAGAGAATAAAAGGGTATCATCAGCAAAGAGAAGATGAGTGAGAAGAGGGCCATTTTTACTGATTTTCATGCCTTTGAAGTTACCATTCTCTGTTTCTGACTTGATGAGATGGGTGAGAATTTCAGAGATTAGAATGAAAATGTAAGGGGACAAGGGGTCCCCTTGTCGAATGCCTCTGGTGGGTTCAATAAAACCAGTAGTTTCACCATTCAAGTTAAAAGAAAAGGTAGGAGAGGTGATGCAAGCAAGAACCCATTTAACAACAGTGACATGGAAACCCAGTTTAAGGAGACAAATTTCAATGCAAGACCATTCGACTCTATCAAATGCTTTTGTCATATCAAGCTTGAGAGCCATATAACAAAGTTTTCCACTTCTGTGCCTGTTAAGGAAATGCAGGGCTTCATGAGCAATAATAACGTTGTCAAGAGTTTGACGGTCTGCAACAAAGGCTGACTGATTTTCACTAATGCAAAAGGGAATGAGAGGTTGGAGTCTAGTAGCAAGAATTTTAGCAATGACTTTGTATGCAACCCCACAGAGACTGATGGGTCTAAAGTGACTGAGATTTTCTGGGTTTTGGATTTTGGGAATAAGAGTGATAAGAGTATGATTAAGACTTCTGTGGATAATGCCAGAATGAAAGAAACTAGTGACTAAGCTAAAGAGATCATTCTGAATAATATCCCAAAAGGAATGGAAAAAGCTGGAAGTCATACCATCCAAGCCGGGTGCTTTGTGTGGGTTGATATTGAAGAGGGCCTCCTTCACTTCTTGCAGCTCAACTATTGCCAACAAATTCTGGTTCATTTCTTCAGTGATTGGGGATGGCATACCATTGAGGAGAGCACCATGGTACCTGTCATTTTCTGAGGTGAAAAGATGCTTGTAGAAGTCAGCAATGCAGTTGGAAATGTCCTCCTTTTCTGTGCAGATGATGTTGTTCTGATCGACAAGCTTAGAGATTGTGTTCTGCTTCCGTCTTTGAAGAGTACTAGCATGGAAAAATCGGGAATTTTTGTCGCCTTCTTTGATCCACATTAATCTGGATTTTTGCTGCCAGAATCTTTCCTCTTGCTTGTATAACTCATCCAGTTGATGTTTAAGAGAATCCCACAATGCCCAATCCCTTAAGCCATCTTGCCATCTAAGTTCTTCAAGTTGCATGTTGAGGGAGGCAATTTTTTTTATCATTGTCTGACTTGAAGCTTTTACTCCATTTGAGAAGTGCAACTCTAGTATGCTTGATTTTGGAGATAAAGCTGTGCATTGGGGTTCCAGCTTGAGGGGTGTTCTAGGAGTTTTCAACTGTTTCTCTTATCCCTTCTTTAGAAAGCCAATTTCTGTTGAAACAGAATCGTTTCTTGAAAGTTCTAGCTTCTGGTGAGAGATTTAGGAGCAGGAGGGAATGATCAGATGAGCTTCGAAAAATTTTTGATACTGAGGCACTTTGGTAGATAGACAGACAATCAAGTGATCCGAAGATTCTGTCTAGTTTTTCTTGAACAAAGCCTTCCCCAGATCTATTGTTGCCCCATGTAAATGTTGGTCCTTCAATTGGGATTTCTAGCATGCCCATGTCACCTATAAAGGAGTTGAAAGGATGGTATGATGAAACTGATCTTTGAATTCCTCCTTTCTTATCTTCAGCGCATCTGATGTCGTTCCAATCTCCTCCGATAAACCAGTTAGGTCCCCATTTATTTTTTTCAGCCACAAGGAAGTTCCACTGTTCAGATCTAGTAGAAGGATCAGTACTGAGGTATACAAAGATGCCCCAACAGGACTGAGCTTTCTGATCATCCCAAAATTCTACTTGCACACAGAAGGACAAGGTGATAGTTTGCTTGATGGTAATAGAGGAGTTCCAAAAACAGAGGAGCCCTCCACTTTTGCCCACAGGATCAAAATAGCACCAGTTATTGCCAACACCAAGTGATCTACAAACAGTATGTACAAAGGGGGATTTTTTTTTTTTTTTTTTTTTTGTTTCAGAAAGAAAAACCAAAATTGGGTGGTGGAGCTTCCACATCTCCTTAAGTTGGGAAATTGTAGAGGGTCCACCCAACCCTCTACAATTCCACATTATTACCTTCATTGATCATGGTGGGGCCATTTTGGGCTGGCCTCCCTCACCTCTGAGTGTTCAACTTTCAATTTTTTGGTTGGTATGGTTTCTTCATGAGTTAAAATGGACACTGATATAGTTTCAGGGGAAGATAAAGGTCTTTTAAGGTTGTTGGTCATAGGTGTTGTGATTACAGAAGATGATCTCTGTGTACATACAAAAATCAAGAGTTAGTACTTCCACACAAGAAGTGATGAAGTTCCAACGGAAATATATTCTAATGAAATTCTAACGACAATTCCAATGTGTATTCCAATGCTATTATTTTCGTTAGAATTTTCTAATGGATTCCCATGGAAATTCCAATAAAAATATTTCGTTTGAATTTCCGTTGAATTTTAATGATTCTAACGGTTGAAATCCAACATAAATTCCTCCGGTAAAAAGCCGTTGAAATAATGGTCGTTGGAATGATAAAATTCCATCTAAATGTTACAATAGAAATTATTTCAACGAAAACTATACCATTTGAATATCCATTGGAGTTACTATTGAAATATATTAACGTAGGATTTTTCGATAGAATATGACATTTTGTTGTAGTGTTCTTTTTTTCTTTTTGGAAAATGATTCATAGAAATTAGTGTTTGTAGATGTCGTCTAAATTTGGAAAATGGCCATTATCTCTCTACACACTCACACTGAGTATTCTAGCCTATATATATACCGTTCATTTTCATCTATGTTTACTGAATATTCTAGACACTTATATATACAGTGCATTTTTATCCATGTTTATTAACTTGAACGTCGAAGCTTCTATGTAGGGACTACCTAGACTTGTGTAAATACGATTCATTTTCATCAATGTTTATTGACTTGAGCGTCGAAGCTTTTATGTAGGGACAACCTCGTCATTGTTTTGCAGGTCACCTCACCGATTCAAGGACGAATCAAAGACGTCGGGGGTTTGAAATCGTTTTACACTACCACTATGAGATTGAGAACCATATTATTAATCAAATAATAATTTCATTCACCTTTGCACCATATTTCCCCCTTACATACTCAGTTTTATTTGTTTAGGTTGGATGCAATTTCATGTTTGAAATACAATGAAGTTCCTACAAGATTGATCAAAACAAGATTAATCACAGTAATTTCATTCATCTTTATATTCATAATTTCCCCATACTTTTTAGTTTTACTCGTGTTATACTGTAAAATGTGCCCACAAATATCAAAGGAAATACCTTTGAAAACCATTTTTTTCTGTGTAGCATATGTTTAAATGTATTTGCATATTCAAGACCTATTGTAGCTAGCTTTGTGAGAGCCATCAATTTTGCTAGCTTATAAAACACACGTTCAAATAACAGACATTTGACTTTATAATAGCTATGCACAGAACGCCTTTACAGGCTATACAGCCATATGTAGAGTACCTCCACTGCAATGGCTTTATTCATTTGCGAACTCATTGCATGGCATCCGGTTGTCTACCCGGCAACGAAGCTTGAAATTCTGGCAAATCTTTGCAAGACTCGTATATTGCACGCAAAGTGGGGAAACCCGACTGTGGATCAAATAAATAATCGATCGACTATTTCATGTTTGCAATATAACTTAAGCATTGATGAATTAACTTGAGCGGTCGAGCATGATGGGAAAAAGAACACGTTACGAACAAAATCAGGAGAGATTACCATGTCAACGTTAAATCTCTTCGTAGCTACTGCAATTTGAGGGGCCAAAAATACATCAGCCTGCAATTCAAATAATTTCACTATTTTTATAGACATGTAATCTGACCAAGGATAGATAAACAAAGCTCCGTAAAGCAGGCCGGCTGGTTTTGACTAGCTCTAGATATAACAGGGTTTTTTTCTCCCCCGAGAGTAAATACCTTTTTTTCCCAAGTAGTTTGTCAAGTTGACTAAACGGCACAAAATTACCTTACCTACATTACCTTCCAAGTTCTAATTAACTCGGGGATTATAAATGCCAACTCAATTTGACAAATTACTAAGTTTAGAAAAACAAAAATTAATTACAGTACCATTTGAACTACTTCTCCAGTGGAATATGTGCCTGCATAATACTTCAGGAGCTTTTCAAGAGCTGCTTACGAATTTTGGGTTCTGTTCAGTAATAAAAATTATAGTAATAATAAAATCAAACACACAAGCACACACAGGTTTATGGAACTTTACCAAGAAAACCCTTTTCGATATGGAACCGAGCCCACGCAAGTTGCTCATCATTACCAAATTTTTTTCCAACATATTTCTGTCGCATTTAAGGAAGATCAACATTATTAGTACCATTAATATTTTTACATCTTGTGTGATATAGGTATGATTGCAGAAGATGCATATAAAAACCGACCAGTATTGATAACATGTGAAGAGGCTGTACGTTTGAAGATACGACACTTGCAGCCTGAGACAGAATTAGTATTATCGGAAGAAAGCTAATATCGCAACAATATACATCATAAAACGCAGTTCAATTTTTCTTACCTCATTCGCTTGATAAAGCTATACTAAGTATAGCATGTTCTAGAAAACAATAGATAAGTGAATGGTTCAGTTCAGAAATGAGTTACATTTGGTTAACTCATGCAAGATAGTTGCACGGTGCATAGAATTACAGAACTTGTAAAGATTAATTACAAAAGAACGGGAAAAAAAAAAGCAGAGACCCTTTCAGTTCAGTATACAGACATAAAATAAATAAATAAAGATGCAAGCATCTTTTACAATTACAAGTTAATTCTCCTTGACAAATGATCAATGTTAGGTAAAGGTGTCCCTCAAGGGAGTACACGTAATTTTGAACGAAAACATGATTTTTTTTGTAATTTAGGATAAACTTAAGAGCAGTTTTCATAATTTAACCCATCTCATACTGGCATGTAGCTATTTAAACACCTAACCGAAGTTCTGAATGTGAAGCTCGTGAAACGAGGAAGATTTCATAAGGAGACAGATGCATTCGTATCACTAAAATCTTGCTTTTTGTTTTGTTCTAAAAGTCATCATTCTTAAGCAATGAAATAGTATTATGTTTCTTACCTGGAGATTAATCGCTCTTAACTTAGGATCAGCAGGCAAAAGCGCATTATGAGGATACTTTTCTTCTAGATACTGGTAGAGAGAGTTAGAAAAAAGGATGAGAAAAATAAGAAGAAAGGGAGTTCATTTTTATTTACGGTTTCAGATATAATTATATAGAACCGAGATAATTATTCAACTATACTTGAAAAAAGTAAGCATTACCAGTAAAATAGCATACGAGTCTGAAACAATGACATCTCCATCCACCAAGACAGGTACATAGTGAAGTGGATTTAGTTTTTCAAATTCTGCAAGCCAAATGCAAATTCTACAAGACCTTCATATCAAGATGACCTCATAAAGAAAGTACAAAAAGTGGCTTCACATACATTCATGTGCATAAGTCATAACACCTGAAGAAAACAGGTAAATAGCTATGTGCTTCAGCTTCAGAACCAATCCATATCTATTTTAGTGAATGAATAACTATGTAATGAAAATAGGAAGATGTTTAACATTTTAATAAGAAAATGGAAAAAAAAAAACAAAAAAAACAAAATAGCTGCTAACTAATGGTGGACCCAAGACGGGTTGTACGAAAAGTTATTCTTTGGAAATTCACAGTTAACTGTTGTGGCATTTTTTCGCCACAGATCAAAACATGGACCAAAGATCAACGTCTTTACATTGACGAGAGATGAAAAACTATTTCCATCTTTAAATACTTAACTGAAGTAATCACAATTAGTCCATCTTCCCAATTCAGCATATCAATATAGTCACTTGACCTAACATAGCGAAACGTGCTTGAAATCATTGGTACCTAACTCTAAACATTTTCCACGCAAAACAAAATGGTGGAGGCTTTTTGAATTGTTTGTTTACCACAACAAGAGTAGGTTATATATGTCAATTACTTCAAAAACAGCTATGCGCCAAATATCCATATCGATCAAAACAGAAAAATGTACTAATGTTAAGAGTTAGTGGCCAATTCCGATCCACAATCGGCAGCAGTGCAGTCATAAATGAACCTGGAGTGAACTGCTCTCCTTTTGCAAGATTGACAGCACGGTAGTCGTAAAGAAGACCTGAGAACAGGCAAAAAACGAAATCGTTATCCAGTAATATCCAAAGAACACATAGCACAGTACAGAATATAAATCCTCAAGACTCAAAGCATTATTCTTTAATTGCCACTCAGCTTAACAAGAGTTACCATTTTCTTTGCCCATCTTTTCAATACCACTCAACCAACCCAAACAAAATCATTTCAATTTCCTTCCTCTCACTTTCCCTTCCTTCTATTAAAACCCATTCCATCCCTTCACCCTAGTTGAAACAAACAGACCCTTAAGAAAACATATGAATTAGTTGAACACAATAAAGGGCACAGCTCACTGATATCTTAGAGGAAAAAAAACAAACTAAACAACAAAAAGGAAATCTTGGCAGCGGAAGTAAGTGGGATTTGAGGGCTAAAGATTAGTGAAAGCCAAACAGAGAAGGGCAGGGGAAAAGGTGGAACCTTTAAGATTTAAAGCAAAGCGCACGCGCCATGAACACGAGCTCTCCCAGTAAGAGTAGAGTACAAGCTTTGGAGCAGATGATGGGTCAACTGGGCTTTGCATATCTGTAGTTGTACTCCTTGAACACACAGAAACTAGTGTCTATTTTCACCGAAAAAGGTTCTGTATGTATGCGCTTTGTGAGCTTGAAGGTTTGTGTGAGAAAAGGAAGAAAGAAATGGTAAAATATGCGCCTCAGTTTTTAGTGAACCATGGAGATGAAAAAGGTTTGAAGAAAAGGAGAAATTGAAACTCGTAGGAATGATCGTCTTAGAACATAGTACAAGAATTAGGGGTGTTAAAAGTTGTAAAAAAATCGATGCAAACCGATCGAAATATAAACATCGGTTCGGTTTTTTACATTAGGAAGTTGGTTTTCAGTTTTTAAATTTTAAAAATTCAATTTTGTCTTGTGGGTGTCGGTATTGCAAATTCAAATGTCTGAAATAACCGAACCGACTGATACATTATCTAAAAAATAATTAATAAATTGGTATCGTGGTCTAGTGGTATCATATCCATTTTTTTGTGCAAAAGGTTCCAAATTCTATTTCACTTTTCTTTGCTGAAACAATAAATTTTTTTATTCTAAACTCAGCAAAGGAAAAAAAAAAGAGTACACCTATAAAATTCTCTCTTTCTCAAATTGCTCCACATAAGAAAAGAAAAGAAAAGAAAAAAAAAAGGTCAAAACCCCTCCCACTCACCCCCTCCTCCCCACCGCCCGACAACATTGAACCACCTCTCCGGCCATAGACTGGGCCGGTGTCGAGTGGCCTTCTCCTCCTCGCCCCGCCTTTTTAGCTGGAGTCAGAGACCATCGATGGAGGCGATAGGCTCGCGCTCGGGCCGACGATGGCCACTCCTCCAGTGAGGCCACATGATGTCTATCTCGGATTTTGGTGTCTCTCCATGCTTGAAGCTTCTTAGGGGCTCAGATCTGGGTCTAAGTTTATTCTCCTTATTAAGTCTGGCTAGTCATACGAGTCCAGTCCGGAGTTTTCAAATCTGGGAGTCTTAGATGAAAAGTTCTAATTGTTTTTGGTTTTGGAGACTGGTTGGTGTGTTGGGTTGTGTGACATAGTCGTGGGCTCGCGAGAAGTAGGAGAGACTTTATTTTATTATTTAGTCGCTTGTTTGGTGTTATAGTTTTTGTCGGTTCGTATTTTGTTGTTTGTTGTTTGTTGTTAGTTTCGGGAGTGTTTGTTCTCCATTTGGAGTGTTGTGTTCTCCCTTCTTGGAGTATTGTTTGTGTGTTTGTCTGTGTACTTTGTTGTCTAGGCCCTCTGGTTGAATCCCAAAGAGAGGTGAACATTGTTCTTGGTTCATTCATGGTAATACAATTTTTGATCATTTGAGGGAAAAGAAAAAGAGTCACGCAAAGTCAAAATCCCACAAGAGAGAAACAAATCCTTGGGTTTAGATAATACCAAGGCAACTGGAGCAACACTAACTCAACAAAAATAACAAGCAAGTACTGTAAAACCTACAAACCAACTACCAAAACGAAGCAATGAAGCCTTTAGATACTACACCAAAACGCAAGCATGTTAACAACAAATAGAAAATACAAATAACTTCAGCTTTCTTTGACTTTGGTTGAAGGAGTAGCACAAAACAAGCTTGAATAGATTATTTACCGGAAGCCAAACACGGTCTCTAGAAATCTGTCAAGCCACCAAAAACAGTAACAAACCACAACTTTATAAACATAAACACCCAAAAAAACCTCCTAAGAGCCTTGAGCAGTCAGAAAATTCTACTCATTCCGTCATAACCCATCCACAATTTCCTTAGGTGAAAGCCATTTGTTTGCAAAACTCCACTTATTTCTTGCCTTTCAGGTCCACTAGAGCAAATAAATTGTAACCTAAATCCTTTGAACAAATAAATATGTACACTTTCTTGTAGAAATTGCTAGCCACCAATCTAAGAAGTTGACTTCCTGCCTTTTTTTCCTTCCCAGTTTGTTGGGGCTAGTCTCCACACTATCTTCATTCTGACACACTCAAAGAAAAAGTGTTCCAATCTTTCAGCAGCTTCCGCACAACATTCACGGGTGTTTTCAGCTTTTCTTCTTCTCTTCAACAAATTTACAGTTGTTGGTGAGATATTCTTTAGAACCCTCCATATGAATGTTCCAATTTGTTCTTCACTTTGAGTCCCCACATCCTTTTCCACATATTCTTCATCAACTTCTTATTGTTACTGTTTCCTGATTCATCCTTGAGTTGTTTTTCTTTCTGGCAAATCAAATTATAGGTTGACTTAACCGTGAACCTCCCACCTGAGCCAGGGTGCCAAACCACCAAATCAGAACATTTTACATTTTTAGAGGAACAACTGAAATAGCCTTAACATCATTTTTAATAAAATACATGTTCACTAAGTTGTTTGTTCCAACTTTTGTCATCTCTGTTCATAAGTTGACATACCTATTCAAAATCTTGATGGTCATCATAGATGCCTTTCAGTTTGAAATATGAATTAGAAATGATCTAGGCTTGATCCCAAATTATAGTGATCATTTTGTCCCCAATTTTTATTCTCCAACCAACCTTAATACACTCTCCAACCTTCACCCAACTTTTCCAAATCCAAGAACTTTTATTTTTTGCACATAGGTTCTTCCATCCATTTTCTTTTATGTACTTTGCAGAGATTAACTTACTCACTAGACTACCTTGGTGAATAAGAGCACTTCAGAGTTATTTAGTTAAGAGAGAAATATCATAGCTTGAAGATTCATAATGCACAGACCCCCTTCATCCTTTGGGATAACCAATCTTTCTCCCCCAGTCCAATAGATTTCTTTTATTTTCAATTTTCCTTACAATGCCACCAGAAATTTGAAATCATTCTGCTATACAATTCAAAATATCTTTTGAAACTAAAAAACAAGACATGACATAGACTGAAAGTGCATTGGTTATAGCCTAAATGAAAACCTGTTTAGCAGCCTAATTCAAGAAGTGATTCTTTCAGTTCAAGATTCTAGCTTCCTTTTGTTTCACAAATAAATTTGATTCAATAAATGATTCTTCCATTACAAGATAATTTTATATTGTTTACAATAAACACAAATTATATCACATGTAATCCCACATCTCTAGTCTATAATTATTATTTAAGATTATTTGCCAAATATTTAATTTATAATTATTATTTAATAGTATTTACTCTCATCTTTAATTTATAGCTATTATTTAATATTATTTATTCGTGCATTGCACGAGCTACACACTAGTTAATAGTAACTTGTGTTTTGAGTTTGATGTTATTGGTTGTGGTTCTTCTTGTCCTTTAGCCAAAATGGTTGTGGAGGGTGAATAAGTGTTTATTCCCCCCAGTTGGAGGAATCCTCACGGCTGTGTTCAGGATCTATCCTTGTTAGTGATCATTTGATTGTTCGATTGTACATTTTCTTTGAGTTTTATGCAATGTTGGAAGTTTTCGTTTGAAAAAAAAAAACATAAAATAGTAGCATCAAACGACCTTGCTCCGTTAAGTTTCAATCACGTTGACAACAAATTGGTTGTTGAGAATGATTAACGTTGCAATAATACAACAAGTTCGTGTCTTAGTTTGTAATTAAGCAAATATGTGATTTATATTGCTAAAAAATTTAAAGCATGTGATTAAAATGGCAATTAACCCTATTTAAATAGTTTGTTAAATAACAATTGACCATTGACAAGGCAGGGAGAGCTAGAACTATAGGTGCAATGGAAATGTATTCATTCTCATTTCAATCGATTAATTTATTTCGATTTATATTTTTTCTTCAATCACATTTCCTAATAATTTATTATTTAAAAATCGATAATTAATATACATCTATTTATATTTACTATTCATCTATTCACGTATTTATTAAAGTGTTCTTATAGACGCAAGGCGCCCGCTAGGCGCTCGACCAGCGCCTAGAGCGCCTAGGCAGGGCCTAGAAATCAGTATTAAATACCTTATTTTTTATTTATCTTAACTACCTACAAAATAAAATTATCTCAACTTATAATAATTCGACACACCTAAGTTCAATTAATAAAATAAATATTTTTAAAGAAAACATGAGTACAAAACAATGTTTTTAGTATTTAAAAAAATTTAAAAACAAAACTGAAAAATTGCCGCCGAGCCCGCCTATGAGCGCCTAGGTCCGCCTATGCCCGCCTAGGCGCCGCCTAACCGCCTGGCCGCCGAGCCCGCCAAGTCCGCCTAGGAGCGCTTAGGACCGCCTAGGCCCGCTTAGGCACTGCCTGGCCGATTTTTTCTGCCTATTTGTGCAAATCGGAGGTGGCCGCCTTGGCCAATTTTTAGAACAATGATTTTTATAATAATTGACTGCAAATTGTATCAAAATAATTGAGTGTAATTATGAGTGGGTTCCATTTATCTAGAAACGTGTGCCTGAAGATAGTTTATTGTCAATTGTCTGTACAATTATTACAGATCCATATGACATTTTGGCCACTTGCTCCTATAAACCCTTGCTATTAATCCTCTATATATATGTGCTTTCAGCTGAATGAAAAACATACAATACGAAAGAAAAGATCAGATACAAGAAAGAGAGAAGAAAAAATACAAGAGATAGAGAAAGAATTTCTGAGGGAAAAAATAGGAAAAAACAGATATAAAATTATATGTTACAAACTAGCAAAAGAGAGATAATTTTATTTTATTTTTAAGTGCTACAGATTTCGAGACGATCTTCGTTGTATCTTTGAAGACGATACGCCTGAATCGTCAGCACTACACGGGGCGTATTCGTCTTGCGAAAAGAGTTTACTCGCCTCGACTAAAATCTTTTTGCTTTTTAAGTTGTAATTTATTTTCAACTCTATTGTAATTTTCAATTTTTAGATCTTTTGTAAGAACTGAAAATCACATATCAGTTCGTAGGATTTCCGTGTATTTTCAACACGTTATTTCTAACAATTGGAAGACGAATATTTTTAACCTTAACGGATGGCATCCACCGGAGATGGTTCCTACACTCAATGACCGATTAACCACATCGTTCATCATCCCGTACATGTTGTCCATGTCGCAACAGCTGA